CCAGTCCCCTGATCATCTTTGTTGCTCTTCTCTGTACTCTTTCTAGAGTCTCAACTTCTTTCTTACATCGTGGTGACCAAAACTGGATGCAGTATTCCAAGTGTGGCCTTACCAAGGCATTGTAAAGTGGTATTAATACTTCACATGATCTGTTAATGCAGCCTAGCACTGTGTAGGCTTTTTTGGCAGCTGCAGCACACTGCTGGCTCATATTTAGGTGATTGTCCACTAGGACTCCGAGGTCCCTCTCACAGTTACTACTATTGAGCAAGGTACCCCCTATACTGTACCTGTACATTTGGTTTTTCTTGCCTAAATGTAGAACCTTGCTTTTTTCACCACTGAATTTCTTCTGCAGGTCCATATCGCTTCCTTGATGTATAAACAAGAAAAGGAGAGAGAAAGAAATAGCTGTAAACAAATAATCTGTTTGAGTTAGAGCTGAGTTGAGCACATAGTAAGCTGTATGTAGTTTCTCCAAAGAGTTTGCAAAGTGTCTCTTTCCTGCCAAGGTGAGCTGAACTCTCTGACCAAAATAAGCCAAAGCAAATGATAAATTAAGTCTTACCAGTTTCTTTTCCCTCCTGAAATAATTCTCGGAGATGCCACTTCCTTGTCCTTCTTCCCCAGCAAATAAATTTTCCAGATGTTGCAATCTAATCAAGAGAAACTTTACTCCTTTATTAAAAAAGACGCCCTCACGATGCTGTTACTCACTTCGCCCCAGCCAGACTCCAGTAGCAAAACATTCTGCAATTATTTCTTTGCTGCAATTTTGTTCCACATCGGTGGAATCACATCTGTTGCAATCCTGGTGACAGAAATGCAATGCAATTTGCACTGGCATGTTATTTGCTTGTTTGTATCCTGTCTTTGTTATTTTGACAAATAGCCGAAGGCATGGAACATATACTGTATAATACTACTTCTACCTATTTTCCCCACAACAACCCTGGAAGGTGGGTTGAACTGAGAGAGAGGGATTGGCCCAAAGTCACCCAGCTGGCTTTCATGGCTAAAGTGGGACTAGAACTCACATCCTCCTGGTGATTGGCCCAAAGTCACCCAGCTGGCTTCACGGCTAAGGTAGGACTAGAATTCACCAGCTTTCTAGCCTGATGCGTTTAATCACTAGAACAAAGTGGCTCTTTCCCCCAAATTCTCTGTTAAAAGAAAACATAATCTTATGACTATCACTGAGTGTTGTATCTTATGACTTATGATGATTGTATTTTATGAGTATGATCATAAGGTCAACTTGTTGCTTGTATGTATGCTGAGAGCTTATGCACTGAAGACAAATTCCTTGTTTGTCTGGTCACACTTGGCCAATAATGAATTCTATTCTATTCTATTCTATTCTATTCTATTCTATTCTATTCTATTCTATTCTATTCTATTCTATTCTAATGCTCCAATCATCAAGTATCCCTCTTACCATTCCTAGACAGCAAATATTTTCTGCTTTTAGCGTAAAGTAGCAGCTTTTGCAGGATTACCAAGAATTGCACCGCTTCTCTCTTAAATTTCAGAGAGCACTAACTCGAGCATGTTGTAATGCTCTCCCTACAGCAGTCCTTCAGGGCTGATACAAAAAAGTCCCAGATGTGCTGAGATTGTGCCCCTGTGGACAAGGGACCATTAAAACCACAGCTTGTGTTCTGTTATATTGTACCTTCTACAAGGATTCACGGACTTATTTTATAACTCCCTACCTGCTATAATACCTGGGAGATTCTGATCTCTTTTATGTATAGCTGTCACTGTGCGATCAATATGATCTTTGAATGTAGGGTAAATTCCACTGTACTGTCTCTAAATTAGGTTGCTCATCTATGATCTCACTTGCTACTATGTCCTGTCCTGTTTTATTTATTTAAAGTTTTATTTTTTAATTCTGGTCCGTGACTGTAATAAAAAGTTGATTGATTGACTGATTGCATCACATCTTGTCTACATGTCTCTTTTAGTTGACATGATTGATTTTGGGTTATAAGAAGGGTGTAGAAGGGGGTTGGACTAGTCCCTTCCACTCTGTTAATTATTGGGAAGGAATAAAAGATTTATCCTCTTGTTCTTTTTTTGCAGGTTGGTTGGTGAAAACCTTAATTGGGCCACATGGCACCAGCGAGGTCTTTGTAAGTGTAAGAAGACAACTTTTTTCAGAAATGAAGGCAGAAAATATCCAGGGCTTTCTACAGTAAGTCTGCCCTTTCGACCACCTACAGCTGTTATTGTTGTTGTTGTTGTTATTATTATTATTATATAGGTTTTGGAAAACAATCTAGGGTGGGCTGATCATGCATTCATATATACACACAGACATACTTTGCCTGAGACAGATAGATAGATAGATAGATAGATAGATAGATAGATAGATAGATAGATAGATAGATAGATAGATAGATAGATAGAGATAAATATATAGATAGATAGATATTCAAAATTTTGTGGCTGACCAAGAGTTAGTGGGAGACTAGTATAGCTATTTCAAGCTCTTTAGCTCTCATCAGAGCTTGAAATAGCTTTACTAGTCTCCCACTAACTCTTGGTCAGCCACAAAATTTTGAATTTATAGTGTTCACAGTATGTGATGTCTCCCTGTAAAACATGCTCCTAGATTGGAGCAAAATGCAGAACAGACTGATTTATATTTGGTAGACCGGGTGCTCCACCCAACAGATAAGATAGAGATAGAGATAGAGATAGAGATAGAGATAGAGATAGAGATAGAGATAGAGATAGAGATAGATAGATAGATAGATAGATACATACATACATACATACATACATGCATACATACATACATACATACATACACATATACATATACAGATAGAGATAGAGTGTATATATAATGGTTATTATGTTGACAACTTACATACACACACGCACATACACACACATATACACATACATATACACATACATTACTGTATACATATACAAATACATGTAGTTCCTCACAACAGTTCGTTTAGTGACTGTTCAAAGTTAGATCACTGAAAAAAGTGATTTATGACCAATTTTTCACATTAACAGCTATTGCAGCATCTCCATGGTTACGTCATCAAAATTCAGACACTTGGCAACTGACTCATATGTATGACGGTTGCAGTGACCTGGGATGATGTGATCTTCTGTGCTTTCACCCTGAGATGGCTTTTCCTTTTTCTAGCTCCTTCACCAGATTCCCACATGTGGCCGGAACAGAGCAGAACCTCCGGTTGGCTAGGCAGATCCAGACTCAGTGGAAGGCGTTCGGCTTGGACACAGCAGAATTGGTTCACTACGACGTCCTCCTTTCTTACCCAAATCAAAGCTCTCCCAACTATGTCTCCATTACTGATGATGGCGGGAAAGAGGTACAGCAAGCAGGTTGTGCCTTTTTCTCTGAGGGAGCCCCCAAGGGAAAAACTAGGTGGAAGTCTGTGGGGCAGCAACACCTAAGATTCCTCTAGAACAGGGGTCTTCAAACTTGGCCCTTTTATGACTTATGGACTTCAACTCCCAGAATTCCTCAGCCAGAACTCCCAGAATTCCTCAGTCCGATGGGTCGGACACGACTTCGCAATTAACAACAACAACAACAGGGCAGGGATAGGCACCCTTGGCTCTTTTATGACTCGTGGACTTCAACTCCCAGAATTCCTGAGCCAGCATAGCTCAGCTTGGAAACCTCTCCATTTCCCCTCAGCATGGCTGGCTCAGGAATTCTGGGAGTTGAAGTCCACGAGTCATAAAAGAGCCAAGGTTGCCTACCTCTGGGCTAGGGGAAAGAAAAAAGGATTAGGAATTAAATATGTATTAGCATATGTAAACTCAGGCAGCACGTTGGTTGAAAAATTATTATTGTTTGTATGGGGAAAATGAATAAAAAGATTATATATAAAAAAAGAAGTTGAGCCTTACTTCAGGAGCACTTCAGAGATAGAAGTTTCCCCAAACAGATGCCCTCAAGATGAGGAGGGCCTACAACTAGGTGGGTGGGCCTACAACTCCCAGAATTCCCAAACAGCATGGCCAATGGAATCCTGGGACATGGCCCACTTCACTTCTGAGAGTTGTTATCACTTATGTCTGGAGAATGTAAGTCTGAGAAAGGCCTTTGTGCAGATAAAAATGACAAATGTAAACATTAGCGGAATCATTTTTTTAAAAAAAAATACAGGAAACTTTAAACACGAGGAATTTTCAAACATAATAATAATTTTTATTGATGTTTGCTTTTCACCGGTAATGAATGTCCACCTGAAGAAAAAAAAAGATAAAGAGTAAAAAGATTTGACCTATGGCTATTTTTTTTAAATGATGGTAATTCTGATATTTCAGCAAAAAGGAGAAGCACCCTTCTAAATCTTTTACATGGCAGTTATAACCAATTGGAAAGTAAATCTGATTGAATTGTGGATATGTCTTCTGACTTCATCACTTCTGAGCAGAGGTCTATGAGGGCTACATTTCTGTGTGAAATTTGAATATAGATAGATAGATAGATAGATAGATAGATAGATAGATAGATAGATAGATAGATAGATAGATAGATAGATAGATAGATAGATAGATAGATAAACAGACAGATAGATAGATAGATAGATAGATAGATAGATAGATAGATAGATAGAGATAGAGATAGAGATAGAGATAGAGATAGAGATAGAGATAGAGATAGAGATAGAGATAGAGATAGAGATAAAGATAAATGGATATGGATATGGAGATAGACAGACAGACAGACAGACAGACAGATAGATAGGTAGGTAGATAGGTAGATAGGTAGTTAGATAGAGATAGATAGATAGATAGATAGATAGATAGATAGATAGATAGATAGATAGATAGATAGATAGATAGATAGATATAGAGACAAAGAGATAGATATGGATATATGGATCCATATATCTGATGATACATGGCAGTTATAACCAATTGGAAAGTAAATCTGATTGAATTGCGGATATGTCTTCTGACTTCATCCCTTCTGAGCAGATGTCTATGAGGGCTACATTTCTGTGTGAAATTTGAAAATCAAAATAGGAACCTTCAAAAGAATTGTAATTCTAGGAGCCTGCCAAGTCTGCAACCTGTCATTTCAGCTTTCTAATGAAACTTCTTCTGTCTTTTTCCTTTGTGAATAGATTTTCAACACATCATTGTTTGAGCCCCCGCCTGAAGGCTATGCAAATATTTCTGGAGTGCTGCCACCTTATAATGCTTTTTCAGCACAGGGTGAGCCACTGGTAAGGATTTGATAACATTTATTTAATATTTAATATAAAAATGAATTTGATACGGTAATGATAACAAATAACAAATAATAATAATAAAGTTGGAAGGGACCTTGGAGGTCATCTAGTCCAACCCCCTGCTCAGGCAGGAAACCCTATACCATTTCAGACAAATGGCTGCCCAGTCTCTTCTTAAAAACTTCCAGTGTTGGAGCATTCACTGCTTCTGGAGGCAGGTTGTTCCACTGGTTAATTGTTCTAACTGTCAGGAAGTTTCTCCTTAGTTCTAGGTTGCTTCTCTCCTTGGTTAGTTTCCATCCATTGCTTCTTGTCCCGCCTTCAGCACTTTGGAGAATAGCTTGACTCCCTCTTCTTTGTGGCAGCCCCTGAGATATTGGAACACTGCTATCATGTCACCCCTCGTCCTTCTCTTCATTAAACTAGACATACCCAATTCCAGCAGCCGTTCCTTATATGTTTTAGCCTCCAGTCCCCTATCATCTTTGTTGCTCTTCTCTGTACTCTTTCTAGAGTCTCAACATCTTTTTTACATTGTGGTGACCAAAACTGGATGCAGTATTCCAAGTGTGGCCTTACCATGGCATTGTAAAGTGGTATTCGACTTGTCTGGGAGTTGAAGTCCACAAGTTGTAAAGAGCCAAGGTTGCCCACCCCTGGTCTAGACTCTCCCTTCCTTTTCAGCCTTTCAGCCTTTTGATATTTGACTTTGAATTTGGGATACATCTAAGGCTTTAGGGTATACCAAAGAATATGGACTGGAATCTGGAAAAGTAGCTGCTGTGTATTGGTGGGATTATTTCTTCCAGCAGCATCTGTTAGGGCTGGGTCTGCAGCCTTGACAACCTTAAGACTTGTGGACTTCAGATCCCAGAATTCTGGGAGTTGAAGTTCACAAGTTTTAAAGTTGTCAAGGTTGCAGACCCCTGTGTTAGGGGACGCATCAACATCTGAAAAATGGAAGGTGAAGCATTGCAATCAAAGCCCTCCTCGTGTTGTAGGTGTAGTGACTTTGTCCACACGTACAAAAAGTGGATTTTTGATTGTGACTTTGCAGCTGGCATCTGGCAGATTTGTGCCTGCCCCTAAAAAGAACCATGAATTCTCCCTAGTTTGTGTGTTTTGGTGCTTGTTCTCAGCATTTGATAGTTTTCATCTTCAACCTTGGTTGATGAAGATGAGACCTCTGTGGAGGTTCTTGGTCATCCATGGTTGTTTCAAATGTGCTTTCAAAATGGTGACTGGTCTTTCTTGACTTTTCTTGGAGACATTTCACTTCTCATCTAAGAAGCTTCTTCAGTTCTAACTAACCAGTGGGGAATGGAAAGGATTTATACTATTTGCATTTAGCCAGGCATTAACACTCTCAGGGTCATTAAAACCATCTGGGATTAATGAAGATAAGTCATCATCTTTCTCTGAAGATGAGTCATCTCAGGAGACCACACAACACTCAACATTCTGTTGTTACTTTCTAAGTGTGTCTATGGAGACTGCTTAAATGTTCTGTAAATAAAGATGTTTGCTTTGCCATATTGCCAACTTTTAATAAATCATTTCAACCAAAAAAATGAGATAGGAGGAATCAAATGGGCGTTTATGGGGATATTTGCAGTTATGATACAGTTCTCTGTATAAGTGAAATAGATTCCATGTGTAGTAGTAAATTAAATAAAATTAAGCCCCCCAAAATGTTGTTTTTGTTTCCATCCTAAAAAGGCCGATCTGGTGTATGTCAATTATGGACGCACAGAAGATTTTTTCAAGTTAGAGAGAGAAATGGGAATAAACTGCACAGGAAAGATTCTAATTGCTCGATATGGAAAAATATTCAGAGGAAACAAAGTAAGTTATCAGCATCTTCATGGTTTTCTCAGTGACGATACCACCAAGAGAAATATTTTAGTGTCTTTAGTAGGGCGTTGCTTAAATACTGCACATGTTTTCAAAAAAAGAAAACGATCCAAAGTGATCCATTTAATTAATTCAACATGGTATTTTTGAAAATATGTATGGTGCAATCCTCAAAAATAGCTCACTCATTTGTGGCGGAATGTTTGGTGAGAATTCAGCTGGCGTTTTACAAGTCATGGGAGCCAAGCCATTATGTTAAGCTGTAGTAGAGGCAAATTATTCTCAAGACATTGGTTTAGCACGTAGTCCAGACTAATGCTATTCTGATTACCAGTTGGTAGTTGGGCTGCCTGTATGAGCACACCGAACCTCACCTGAATTTCTTATTTGTGGATGTCAGCTCAGCTTCTACCAGGTTTTCCTGCTATACATGCACAGAAACACACAGAGGGAGAGGGAGGGAGGAAAAGAGAAGGAAAGGGAGGAGGAGAGGGAAGGAGGGAGGGAGGGAGGGAAAAAGGAGAAGGAGAGGGAGGGAGAGAGGGAGAGGAAGGGAGGAAAAGAGAGGGAAAGGGAGAAGGAGAGGGAGAGGGAGGAATGGACTGGAGGGAAAGGAGGAGAGAGGGAGAGAGGGATAGGGAGAGGGAGGGAGAGGGAGAGAGAGGGGAGGGAGGGAGGGAGAAAGGAAGAGGAAGGGAGAGATGGAGAGGGACAGGGAGAGGGGGAGAGACTAGAGGGAGAGAGAGAGAGAGAGAGAGAGAGAGAGAGAGAGAGAGAGAGAGAGAGAGAGAGAGAGAGAGAGAGAGAGAGAGAGCTCTGGCCTAAGAACCCAACTATATTTCATCTCTTTTCTTGATTTCCTCTTACAGCACAAGTTGGCCATTTGTGGTCCTATTGAATGCATTGGAGTAGTCCAGATTAGAGGAATGGGCAAAATTAGGCTTCAAAATGGATTTGTGCAAAGGCATTCGCAAGAGAACACTGTGAATCTAGGGCAGGGGTAGGCAACCTTGGCTCTTTTATGACTCGTGGACTTCAACTCCCAGAATTCCTGAGCCAGCCATGCTGAGGGGAAAGGGAGAGGTTTCCAAGCTGAGCCATGCTGGCTCAGGAATTCTGTGAGTTGAAGTCCACGGGTCATAAAAGAGCCATGGTTGCCTACCTCTGATCTAGAGATAGTTAACACCCAATCTGAGGACGTGCTGGCAAATATTCACCAACAACCGGGTTGCTATGTTCTGGATTAATTGAAGTTTCAAAGGCAACCCCGTGTAGAGTGTCTTATAGTAGTCTAGACCCATGACAATCAGGGCATGAGCTATTTTTTGGGGGGGTAAATACGGGAAGCCCTCCAATTCATGCACACCAACCCTTGGCGTCCTCTTAATCCCATTCACGCTACTCCCGAAACTCAAGGGAACGCAAGAGCGTTTTGCTTCTTAACAGTTGATTTTTCTGCAGGTTAAAAATGCCATCTTGGCAGGAGCGAAAGGAATTATCCTTTACTCTGATCCTGCAGATTATTGTGCGCCTGGGGTCAAACCCTACCCAGAGGGCTGGAATCTTCCTGGACAAGGAGTTCAGCGTGGAAATGTGTTAAATCTAAATGGCGCAGGAGATCCTCTCACGCCAGGCTATCCAGCCAAAGGTCAGTGTCCATAGGCCCACATATGACACTCCCTTTGGGAAGGAAAGATCAGAGCTTGTTGATGTAACGTTTGCTTTCCATACACAGGCAGTCCTTGACTTACGGCCACAACTGAGCCCAACATTTCTGTTGCTAAGTGAAATAGTTGTTAAGTGAGTTGGGCCCCATTTTATGAGTTTTCTCGCCACAATTGTTAAGGGAACTGCTGCAGTAAATCTGGCTTCGATCATGCAACCATCGTAAATATGAACTAGTTGCCAGGCATCTGAATTTTGATCATGTGACCATGGGGATGCTGCAACGGTCCTAAATGTGAAAAACGGTCCTAATTCCCTTTTTCTTCAGTGCTGTTGTAACTTCGATGGTCACTAAATGAGCTGTTGTATGTTGAGGACTACCTGTAATAGTGGTCAGTTACAACTTTTGATCACTTCAGATGAAGCTGGAAGATACTCTCTAAGTTCTTTGAAAAAAATGTGAACATACTCTTTAAAATAGGTCCTGTAGAGCAGGGCTTTTCAACCAGTGGTACGGGTACCACCTGTGGTACATTGGCACCTGGCAGGTGGTACGCGACCATCCTAGAAAAGTGGTAGCAGGGGAGGGGAATGAGCTGAACCGGTGGCAGCACCGCACAAGCCTGAGTGAGAGATGGCTGGAGCTGCAGGGCTGTCAGGGCTCAGCAGAAGCACCAGGATCAGTGCTCCTTCGGTACTGTCAGGGCTCAGCGGAAGCGCCAGGATCAGCACCAGGCTCCAGCTGGAAAGCAGCACTGATCCTGACGCTTTTGCTGAGCCCAAAATAAGTGCCGATCAGCTGGAATGTTGCAGCCTCTCCAGGGTCTTGTGATTTACATTCAGATGCTTGGCAACGGATTCATATTTATGACGGTCACAGTGTCCCAGGGTCATGTGAAGTGACCAAAACCTGCTGCAACCACCCAGCAGATGAGGGGAATAAAAACCAAACACCCCCCACCCCACCCCCACTGCCAATCCTCAACAGAAATGCTCACAACAATGAAAACCTCGGACAGGAGGAAGAGTGCCGCTGGGTGGGCAGGCAGGTGTCTTGCTCGGCTGTGGCTTGGGGGGCACTTTTTTCAGTGCCATTGTAACTTCAAACAGTCACTAAGCGAACTGTTGTAAGTCAAGGACTACCTGTACTTTATCACTTTTTTCCTTTTCTTTTTTTTTGGTCATCATGTTTTTGACACCTTGCTAGGCGACTGGTGGTACTCGGATATTGCCATATCCTAAAAGTGGTACAATGGGTGAAAAGGTTGAAAAGCCCTGCTGTAGAGCAGGGGTCCTCAACCTTGGAAACTTTAAGACTTTGTGGACGTCAGCTCCCAGAATTCCTCATCCAGCCAATGATTGCCAATGGAGGACTAAGTACTGCTAACCCTGATTGCACGTGTTCATATCCTACTGATCTCAAACTTTTATTGATTTTTTTTTTCAGAATACATGTTCAGACTTGACGTTAGTGATGGGGTGGGAATCCCCACCATTCCAGTACACCCCATTAGTTACCACGATGCTGAGGTTTTATTAAGGTATACATATTAAATTATGTTCGAGACTTAACGTGAACTGGAAAATCCATGGATTTTGAAAATCCATGCCTGTTTCTTGACCTGGCTCACTTTAAAGCAGGGGTAGTCAACCTTGGCTCTTTTATGACTCGTGGACTTCAACTCCCAGAATTCCTGAGTCAGGAATTCTGGGAGTTGAAGTCCACGAGTCATAAAAGAGCCAAGGTTGACTACCCCTGCTTTAAAGGGCTGAAAGCTCACCCAGCCAGGAGGTGGGTTTGGTGTAATGGTCAAGGGTGCTGGACAAGAAACCGTGAGTTCTAGTCTTCCCTAAGGCATGGAAATGACTTTGGAACAGTCACTCATTCTCAACAGGTAGTCCTCGACTTACAACCATAATTGAGCCCCAAATTTCTGTTGCTACTGTGTTTCCCCCAAAATAAGACCCAACTGGAAAATAAGCCCTAGCATGATTTTTCAGGATGCTTGTAATATAAGCCCCACCCCAAAAATAAGCCCAAGTTAAGATCATCAGCTAGGCCAGGGGTAGGCAACCTTGGCTCTTTTATGACTCGTGGACTTCAACTCCCAGAATTCCTGAGCCAGCCATGCTGAGGGGAAAGGGAGAGGTTTCCAAGCTGAGTCGTGCTGGCTCAGGAATTCTGGGAGTTGAAGTCCACGAGTACTAAAAGAGCCAAGGTTGCCTACCCCTGAACTAGACAGATGCATTTAGTACCGTATTTCCCTGAAAATAAGACCTAACCAGAAAATAAGCCCTAATGCATCTTTTGGAGCAGAAATTAATATAAGACCCGATCTTATTTTCAGGGAAACACTGTAAGTGAGACAATTCACAGGGTTGTTGTTGGGATATAAACCACTGATTGATTGGTTGATTGATTGATTGATTAGCTTTAGTAGTCACTAGACTCCAGAAATACTCTGGGCAGCATATATTTAAAACAGAGTCAGTTTGGTCCAGTGGTTAAGGTAGACTTGAAAGTGAGAGACTGTGAGTTCTAGTCCCGGGTCCCCAATCTCCAGGTTGCGACCCACTACCGGTCCGAGACCTGTTCAAAACCAGACCGCGGGAGAGATGGGCAAGGACACACACATGAAGCTCTAGGAGCGCACTTGAGCGGAGGGTGCTTGTGCTCGCGCATGAATCTGCACTCATGCGAGCGTAGGGTGCTCATGCATGAAGCTCCATTCGCACAAGTGGAGGTTGCACATGCTCACTGCTCACATAAGTAGAATTCTGTATGCATGCATGTGCCTGCCACTCACACACACACCCTTGTGCTGGGCCAGGCTGCCAAACTGGAAAAGATGACTTTGGGCCAACTACTTTGGGCCCCCTGTAGAATGCTCTCGATTCTACAGGGGGATGATCCTATCATACAGCATCACAGTCTGGTTTGGAAGCATCACTGCTTCAGACAGGAAGGCGGTGCAGAGAGTGGTGAAGATGGCCGAAAAGATCATTGGCAGTTCCCTCCCTCCCATCCAGGACATGGCACAGAAGTGCTGCTTGAGCAGTGTCCGCAAGATTATCTGGGACACTACCCTTCCTCTTCACGGCCTGTTTTCCTTGTTACCTTCTGGGAGGAGGCTTCGTGGTATCCGTAGCAGAACATCCAGATTCAGCCATAGTTTCATTCCATACAGCATTAACCCTGTGAACTCTCAAGCTTCCTCCTTCCATTATATATTCAAGATGGACAGTGTTTAATATTTATTTGTTATGTATATGTAGGGGTGTGGGTCTATACATATGCTGTACATAGTATGTTTTAGGTGTGCGTCCTGCATCTGTTTCACTTTGAGATGAGAGCGGGCAACTAAATTTCATTTTTGATGTGTGCCGTTGTGCCCACAGTTAAAAAATGACAATAAAGGTTATCCTATCCTATCCTATCCTATCCTATCCTATCCTATCCTATCCTATCTTATCTTATCTTATCCTATCCTATCCTATCCTATCCTATCTTATTTTAGCTTAGCCCAACTCACCTCACATCATAGGGTTGTTGTTGTGGAGAGAAATTGTGTTGGATATGTTCATTGCCTTGTGTTATTTGTAAAAAAGAATAAAGGCAGGATATAGAGAGTAGAGGTTTTCCCTGTCCAGTTGTGTCTGACTCTAGGGACAGTGCTCATCTCTGTTTCTTATCAGAGGGAGCCAACGTTGTCCACAAAGACGTTTTCACGGTCACGTGGCTAGCATAATTGTATGCCGAGGCTCACAGAACGTGGTTACATTCCCACCGAAGTGGTACCTATTTATCTACTTGCATTTGCGTGCTTTCAAACTGTTAGGTGGACAGGAACTGGGGCAAGTAACGGGGAGCTCACTCTGTTGCACAACACCCAGGTCTCAAACCTGAGCTGTCAGCTTCCCAACTGACAAGCTCAGCGTCTCTAACCACTGAGCCATCGCACCCCTTGAAGGCGGGATAAAACGAAATAAATAAAAATAAAAAGCAACGGAAAGAATCTAAGCGTCTGGATAAACTGCACGCACAATCAGTCAGTCTGAGTTCCACAAAATGTCCTATCTTCCCAAGGCTTGGGAGGACAGCTATTTTTTTTTTTAAAAAAAACGTTATCAGGATGGGAGATAAAAAGTTGTCAAAAAACGTGAATAAAGACAAAGAAGGTTTTTTTTTGTTTTTCCAGATTCATGGGTGGTTCTGCAGCTCCAGACAAGAGTTGGAAAGGAAATCTCAACGTATCGTACAATGTTGGGCCTGGATTTTTAGATCACTATTCCACAAGGTTAGTTCTAACATTTTTTTTTAAAAAAAAAATCATTTTGCTTCAATTGCTATCCCAACTGGGCATATCCACTTAAAGCGGTTTTCATTTTCTGAGAGACCATTGTCTGCCTTAGGGGCTGGGTGAATGCAGGGAGTCCTCCGCTGACGGCCACAACGGAGCCCCAAATTTCTGTTGCTAAGCGAAACATTCCTTAAGTGAGTTTTCTCCCATTTCACGAGCTGTCTTGCCACAGTTGTTAAGTGAATCATTGAAATTAAGTTAGTAACCTGGTTGTTAAGTGAACCTGGCTTCCCCATGGTCTTTGCTGGTCAGAAGCCAACTGAGAAAGTTACAAATGGGACACGGCAACTGCAATAACTACATGTTGCCAGATGCCTAAATTTTGAACCTGTGACCATGAGGACGCTGGAATGGTCATAAGTGCGAGGACCAGTTGCAAATCACTTTTTTTCCACTACTGTTGTAACTTCAGATGGTTACCAAACAAATTGGGGGTTGGACCAGATGACCTCCAAGGTCCCTTCCAACTTTATTATTATTATTATTATTATTATTATTATTATTATTATTATTATTATTATTATTATTATTATTATTATTATTATTATTATTATTATGGATCATCGCACAGTCAGCCAGATGTTCAGACTGGATTTGACATTTTGTCTACCTATCGAGTCCTTCCCAAGGACCTGGGATAGGCAGATGTGGATGTTTTTTTATTATTATTATTATTATTATTATTATTATTATTATTATTATTATTATTATTATTATTATTATATGGTTGTAAATCAAGGACTACTTGTACTTACTGAAATATACTATGTAAGGTTTACATGTTGCAATCAACTGGATGGCTAAATCAGTTGCCCTAGAACAGGGGTAGGCAACCTTGGCTCTTTTATGATTTGTGGACTTCAACTCCCAGAATTCCTGAGCCAGCATGGGGGAGCTTTGGCTCCTTCATGACTCGTGGACTTCAACTCCCAGAATTCCTGAGTCAGCATGGCTCAGCTTGGAAACCTCTCCCTTTCCCCTCAGCATGGCTGGCTCAGGAATTCTGGGAGTTGAAGTCCACGAGTCATAAAAGAGCCACGGTTGCCTACCCCTGCCCTAGAACATGGGTGTCCATCTTGACGTATCACGACTTTTTTTGCATTGTTGGAACTGGGGTGGGCGCAGCCTTAATATGATGCAACTGGCCTGCGGGTCGGCAGTTTGTCACCCCTGCCCTAGAAGATTTGTTACGCATGCATGTCAGAGCAAATCCAGCTAATTTACAAAACAGATAACAACTGCAGAAATTAGGGCTGGCAGGATCAAATTATCAGTATTGGTGCTAGTAATTGATGGTTCATAGGGTAAAACGATGTGAAGTTGTTTCGTTGCTTGGATAGTCAGTCTTGATTTGCGAAC